ATATGACGTCTATACTCATGCTACAGATGAATACTTTTCATTAAAGCATAGTTGCAATGGAATTTGGCACTTGCAGTATCATACTTAGCATATTATAAACTACCTTCTGGTCCTGCTAAGCTCTTGACTACAGCACAATAATTCACTGTTTGCTTGTCCTATCTTTTTCTAACACCATTCAGTCATCATACAGGTGTTTTTGCAAGCTTTATCCAGTTTGGTTCATGTGCAATGAATCTTCAGTTTCATTTATTTTTATATAAGAGATGATACCAAAATATCCGTTCAACAATGATCTTGTTTATTTATTGTGTATTATATGTTTTCTGGGTTAAATTGATAACAGGGTACCTCAGAATTTTAATGCTGTTTAGCAGCTAACAAGTTTTAAATGTTGTGTGAAAACACCACATGTAAAAGTAAAACCTTTTTTTATGCTCTTTACAAGTACTGAGATAAAATAGCTAGTCAATGTTTTTCACTCATTCTCTTTGCTCTAATGGTGACAACTACCCACCACCCAGGAGACCCAGATGCTTCAGGTGTCTTATGGAAAAGATGTGGAGACACTGAGGCAGAGTCTGTTGGTTCAGGGTCAAAAACTGGAGGCGGCGCAGCAGAAAGTTGCTGAGCTGGAGACGCAGCTCTCCAAGAAGGAACACCTCATCGCCGAGCAGAAGAAGTTCCTCGAGGATGTAAAATGTCAAGCAAAGTAAGTGTCTGTTCCTCAGGATTAGTTTGAACCTCCAAGTCTTCAAAAAAAAGAAACACTTACTGTAAATGTCTTTGAGATAAACGGTCATCACTGTGTATTGCGTTACACAAATGAACCCAAAAATCCTTTAATATCTGTGTGACACAGATGTTTTTTGAATTTAAGCATTAGTACAACAGCATCTAAATCAGTACGACAAACTAGTTGTCTAAGTAGATCAGGCATCACATAATTGTGTTTGTATGGAGCAGCAGGGACAGAGCTCCTGTGAAAAACCTTTTGAAGTCATTTGCCTGTTTCTCTGCCAGTGTGCACATTGTTTGTGCCTTTTATTGTCTCTTTGTATCTGTCACACCTCATGCGTTCTGTTGTGTATTAATCTTTGCTCCATTTGATCCATGCCTGCTCTCATGTTCTCGCTTCCTCTTTGTCATTTTCGTCATCCCCGTCTTGTCTCTCTGTTTAGGGCGGAGCTGCAGGCCTCAGACAGCAGGTATCAGGCTCAGAGGAGAATCACTCAGCTGCTGCAGACTGAGCTCCTGCAGCTCTACAGCAGAGTGGAGATGGAAGTTCCAGCCAGCACCACCACCAGCTCACCACCAGGTGGCAGAGGTGACACAGACGCTCCTGCTGACTCCAGGTCAGGTTCTGAGCACACCGTTGTCTGTTTTTGTTTCTTTACACAGGCCATCCAGTTTGCATGTTGTTTTCAAATTGAAATTCTGAATTTACTACTGAATGTGACTTGCTTTCCTACTAATCATGACAATTTACTACGGTATTGAGATGAGACATTAAACTATCCATTATTATGTAATAAATAACTGAAAAAAGAAAAGCTTCCAAAAAATATGCAATTTGTATCAGAAATTATTATTTTAAAACACTTTGGTACACTTTCAGCAAAAGGCTAGTGGGATTTTTCCATATGCGTTTGGATTTTTGCAGAAAATAAGCTCTATGACAAACAAAAATTAATTTACATGTTTTGTTCAGCAAGATAATCTTCACAAGTAAATAGCATATTTATGGATTTTGAAGCCCATATAGAATTGCCAGAAGGAAAAAGCTGTTGTTAGGCTATAAACAAACTTCAGTGTCACAGCCACTAAGCTTCCAACTTGTAAATTAATTTAGTGAGTTAGCTCTTGTACAAAAGTCTTTCCTCTTAGCATGACATCATATACAGTGCCTTGCGAAAGTATTCGGCCCCCTTGAACTTTGCGACCTTTTGCCACATTTCAGGCTTCAAACATAAAGATATAAAACTGTAATTTTTTGTGAAGAATCAACAACAAGTGGGACACAATCATGAAGTGGAACCACCGTTGTCTGTTTTTGTTTCTTTACACAGGCCATCCAGTTTGCATGTTGTTTTCAAATTGAAATTCTGAATTTACTACTGAATGTGACTTGCTTTCCTACTAATCATGACAATTTACTACGGTATTGAGATGAGACATTAAACTATCCATTATTATGTAATAAATAACTGAAAAAAGAAAAGCTTCCAAAAAATATGCAATTTGTATCAGAAATTATTATTTTAAAACACTTTGGTACACTTTCAGCAAAAGGCTAGTGGGATTTTTCCATATGCGTTTGGATTTTTGCAGAAAATAAGCTCTATGACAAACAAAAATTAATTTACATGTTTTGTTCAGCAAGATAATCTTCACAAGTAAATAGCATATTTATGGATTTTGAAGCCCATATAGAATTGCCAGAAGGAAAAAGCTGTTGTTAGGCTATAAACAAACTTCAGTGTCACCGCCACTAAGCTTCCAACTTGTAAATTAATTTAGTGAGTTAGCTCTTGTACAAAAGTCTTTCCTCTTAGCATGACATCATATAGCTAGTGAACATGGCTGGCTCCGTTAGTTAAAATAGTTTGAACAGGTTTAAATGCAACAATTTAAATACAGCTGATATTTAGGCAGTTGTTAACAAATTAAAATTTTTCTTTACATTTGAATACTTTGTCCTCTTCAGTGTCATGGTGCCAGATGGACCACGTAAAGCTCACACCACCGAGGAGAGGGACAGCAGACCACCGCACGATTCTTTTCGGGGCAATGGCAGCACTTTATCACCTGGGCAAATAAAGGCGAACAACTCTTCCAAGTCAACAGCCAACTCCATCAATGGTAGCCAGGACCTGGCCCCACCCCTGCTGGTGGAGCCCTCCCTCTCACATCCCCATGCCAGTCCACTCATGCTCCTGCCCCCCTCCGACACGCCGCTCACCGTGGGCTCCTACCCCAGCGCCAAGAGCTTCCTCGGCATGAGGGCACGTGAGCTGTTCCGTAACAAGAGCGAGAGCCAGTGTGACGAAGAGCAGCCTCCGCCGCGCCTGGCTGGCCTCGCCCATGACCTGAAGACTGAGCTGTGCGTGGAGCCGCCTTGCCCAGGTTATGTTGCCCCCATTGGCCCTGCACCTTCCCCAGTCCCAGCTCCGGTCCCCACTCCAGCTCCTGTTACCCCTCTCACTGTGCTCACCAAGGAGCCCCCAAATGAACCCAAGCGAGCCTCCAGCCAAGAAAGCCCCCGCAGGAAGGCTGGGGTGGGGTCTGGTGTAGGACGGGGTCAGATGGGGCCAGGTCGCCCACGGCAGCAGCAGCTAAAGATCATGGACTATAATGAAACACATGAGCACAGTTAGAGACAGAGAACTGAGCCAGGACACAGGGTGGGCGATTAGGGACTGAAGTTTAAGGATCGAGCTACAAATCAGCAAAAGAGTAACAAGTCAGCAACTCTTTGGAATTCAGTGTTATTTGTTCCATTCCTTTGAGTGGACAGCAGGATTTCTCTGTGTTTTTCTTTCTTTGTTTTTTTATAATGATTCATTCCCCTTAAGAATTTTGACAATGTGACTGATTCAAAAGTTATGTTACCAGTGAAGATACTAGACTTATGAATTTGGTATTTGAATATGCCAACAGGATATACTCAGTACTAGCTATACTGTAACTTGCATGTGACTGAGTCTGCAGTTTAAAGGGTCAGATCAACTAAGTTACACAAATGCACAAATTGCCCTCTTAGATCCATTTGTATCAGCCACACAGAACAATTCACTGACCTCTCAGTGATTAGCTTTGATTGAAAAGTGAGGAAATAGTCCTTTGAAAGGAAATCTCAATAAGGTCTGTGGATTATCCAGCATAACAGGAGCACTGTTTCTGGAAAAACAAGTTACTGTTAAAAGGTTAGATGTCATTTTTCAACACTGTCAGACCTATATATACAATTTAATTGATTTGCAGGAGGGTTACATCAGAGCGATGGAAGTGATCACTACGTAGATATGTTGAGTTTATTCCGAGGAAACCCTGGAATATGACCTTATTGTTGCTTAACTGAATTGGAAGACTGGCGTTTTCATACAGAACTGCCTTGAGTTTTTGTACCAAACTAGACAAAATGAGAATGTTTTGTTTGGGAGTGTACCAGTATGTTATCATATTTCAGGAAAGATGCAATGACAAAGCATTTAGAAACTGCTGAAAGTTTATGCATTTTAATAATTCTGCACACTGTCATACCTTTGTTTTATTTATTCTGCCAGGAAGGATATGCATAAGTACATTCTCTAAATTTGAAGCTGACCTGGCCAGTTACACAAGCCCAAGCTATAAAAATTTTTTACATTTTTTGTTAGACTACCAGCTGATCTTGTTGGAAGTGCCATGAAATATCATTTTCTAGCCACACTCAAACATCTCTAAACAGAAGCATTTTTCATATTGTGCTCAGCTGATACATACAACACGGGAAACCACTGTCTCATCCAGTAGATTTTTCCCTTTGCAGATCTGACAAACACTGAGTTAGCTCAATGCTTAGTATTATTAGAAGTAAACTCCAGTTTTAAAAGATGTCTAAATCCTGTTGTCCACTGGGAACTCCTGCTGTCATTTTCTTCTGCCTTGCTATCTAAAGCATGTTCAACAATCCACTTTAAATGCCAACCATAGTAACTACAGCAAACCAAGACAGAGGGTACAATCAGCACAAACAGAAGAAACTAGGACTCTGACCCGAGCTGGAGAATCTAGGATGAAATTGCAAAAAAAGGAAGTTTTTAAAGCAGTGGCTTGTGTTTAACTGTGAACAATAAAGATCGTCTTCAATGTTTTGCACTACAACTCTTGAGCTTTGCTTCTTTATGTAATCCCCTCCATATGGTCTGTACTTCTGTAGAAATGCAGCATCAAGATGTTTTGTTGTTATGATCTTTGAGGGTGGAGTTTGCTTTTGAGACTGAACACTATGATGTAAGCTCTACCTGGACACAGAAGCACAGGAATGAGCACTAGAGCTAAAACAATTGATTAATTGAATTGCTCGACACAAAATTTACAATTTACCTTTGTTTTTCCAAGCAAAAAATCTAACTTCAAGTTCTACGTTTGAAATGCTATTAGCACAGTTATTTTATCTATATTAATTAATTAAAGTTTTAAGGTTTTCTATAGGTGGTGTTCTGACTTTTGCTGATTTATTAAAAAACAAGCATAAATAGGAAGCTGGAGCCAGGACACAGCTTTATTAAGCTAGGCTAGGCTAAGATAGCATCTGTGGCTCAGGAGGTAGAGCGGGTCGTTTCCTAACCGGAGGCTTGTCCAGTCAACATGTCGAGGTGTCCTTGAGCAAGACCCTGAACCCCCAGTTGCTCCCGGTGATGTCACCGGTATGTGAGTGCTTGGGAGTGCGAATGGGTGAATGGCCGAATAATGTGAAAGCGCTTTGAGTGTGCTGTAAAAGCATAGAAAGGCGCTATACAAGTATAAGACCATTTACCATTTAGTCCCAGCACCTAACCTATTTGACAGATAGGAAAGTGGTATTAGTCTTCTCGACTAGCTTTCGTAAAACAAAATAGCTATAGGCTTATCCCAAAATGTTAAACTGTTTTTTTAAAGAGTGCGGACATGAGTGTGAATCTGAAAATCTGATGTTTTCAAATCGATTAACACTTGGATTGAGGGAAACCAAAACTAAGATAAACATTACTGTGACCTCAGAATGTTTTATCAGGGTTGGTGTGCTGGTACTGTGAATGTTTTATCAGGGTTGGTGTGCTGGCTTTTCCTTGTTTTTTTGTTAGGGTTTTTTTTCGCAGGTGTGTCTAAACCAGAAAGCTGTTTATGGTGGTTGCTGTTTCAGAAATAAAATATTGCACTAACTGTAGCTAGTAGCTTGACTATGGCACTGTAGTCAATCTGTAACTTTCTTTTAATCTAAAGTTTATTGTGTGACATTTGTAGATTACTTTTCTGCTATTGTTTCAAATAAGATACTATAGGTGTCTCTCTCAACATTTGTATTTACTTTTTTTTTCTAGTGTTCGTTGTCCTGTTTCCAGCAGAGGACACTGTTGCTCCAAAAACTAGCACCAGACTCTGGAACCATGTTGGGATCAACAGGTAAGGCAGGCTGGTAAATATGCTGTTACACAGTTGATGATTTTAGGTGATTCAGATCCTTGGGCTGTTAGCAGTGCTGTAAAGGTCAGTGTATGACAGCAGCGTTGCTGATACTGATGAGAAATATTATTCTGTTTTGTATGTTATATAGTTTTCTTCAGTATTTCAGCCTGTAAGGAAATTGTCATGTCACAACCATTGACAAAAACAAGCATCTTCTGCAAAGACTACAGACAATAAAACTAGAAATATTACAGATGCTTAAAAAGTTCAGGATTTATGTAATTAAACCTCTTTTTAATTCACTATTTAATTTGAAAATTTGACAAAAATATTGATACAATAGAAAAAAATTCTTAATGAAAAGCTGTAAGACTTTACAGTTTCTCTAACTTTATTCTTCTTATTATTATTATTATTATTGTTATTTTGTGTGCATGTTCATGTGTGGGTTCTGTATGTACATAAAGCACCCGTATATTTTTTCAGCTCCCGGTTCCCTGGGCCTCGACGCTAACTCTCATTCTACTTCCAAGATGTAATCATTTTTTGTGAGTATAACCAACCAAGTATGATTAGTTTATCAAACGTGGGCATATGTATTTTACAAGAGATTGTCCAAAAAGAGAAAAAAAAAGTGGTATGATTAATTTAGCAGTGTTCCGCAGGGTCAAGGAAATTGATGCAGGATAATTGGCCACATAGGGAATCCTTGGCAATTTGTGCTTTCAGACTCTACTTGAGAAATTAGATGTCAGTGCAAATGTGAAATTGCTTCTCAATGTTCTCAAAGATTCCATGAAAATTTAAATATAAATTGTAAGTATTTCCAGCAAAGGGATCTTTTCCTTTTTTTGCATACCAACTTGAAATGAAGCCCTGTGAAAAGGATCTGAATGAAGTGAGTGTATGACGGAGGAGAAAAAGACATCCGAGCTTGTGTAAAGTTTGGGGCTGCACTCCGAGGAGGATGTTGGGGGCTCTTGCTCTTGGTAAAATCCTCATACAAGAATTAATTAAATTCTTTTTGACAGGAAGTAAAGTTTGAATTCACCAGAAGATGTGTAATTATAATATTCAATATATGTACACCTATAATGCAAAATATCACTCAGATGGTGGTGGGGTATAGCCTACTTTATTTCCTCAGATTGTCAGTGTAGGAGGTAGATGGTACAAACGTATGACATGTTTATATGACTGAGAATAAATTACACAGGGTTAAAAAATTAATATAAAGGAGCATATGTTTGTTTGAAAGAGGTTAGAGAATTTTGAATCTGAAAAGCACCCAGATGCTGATAAACCACTTGTTTTTTAAGCAGAGGTCATCAGTTATGTTTTATTAAATAAGTTTCAATTACACAGATTACTAAACATTTTTTAATCATTAGCATCATGGAGTGTGATCAAAACTTGTGGGAGAGTTTACATTCATGCAAGATCAAGATAAACTGATTGCTTAAAATTCTCACTCCAAAATCCTAGTTTTATTTAAATCTTAGTGTTTATTCCTCACAGACACACAGTGGAAAAGAAATTGCTAAACATGAGTATTTTTGGTAAGCATACTACATACTGACACTCTGGAAAATGGCTTCATTTGTCCTCATTAAAAGCTTAAAAGTCCATGAATAAATAATCATTAAAGGGGATACTTTCCCCCCTTTTTATATTCAGCCTTATGCAAAATACACTCTATGACTGAATAAATATGCTCCATAAAGCTGTTTAGAAACATGCCCTCCTCCTTCTACTTCCACATTTAGATGGCTGACATGCACCTACAAATGAGATCCTACGTTGGCTGTTGGTTTTGGAGGCAAAAATTGGACCTCTGAGAGTCAACTTAACGCAATTAAGTAAGGGTGATGAGTTTTTCCTCTCTGTGCAGCTTGAATCAGTAAGCAAGACGGAATCAAACTTAAAGACAAGAAGAAAAGAAAAGAGTGGGAGATGGGTATGCACAGACCGGTCCCAGCGGTTTAATTATTTTAATTATCTCTCCTCTTTCAGCTTTCCTAAAAAAGAGGCCATTAAAGGATGCCCGTTTGGGTTAATCTGATTAAAAAAACAAGATGGAGGGAAAGATGAAAGGCTGCAGATGTCAGTGCTAATCATGGGAGTTAAAACTGCTATTTGTGAACTGGGACGGTTGTTAAAGTGGGTAGAAAGTGCATGCAGTGTGAGAGTTTTTTAAACACATTTTCCTGATTTCCAAACGCTTCCTTCCCGCAGCCTCTGTTGATAAACTCCATCTTATGCATCTCTTCAAACTAACATCATGTTTGATTGTCTGCCGCGCTGTGTAACTGTGCTGGCAGCAGGTCAAGCAAACACAACACAGCTGGAGGAAAATAGTTTAAGCTTAGTCCCCAGTGATGTAATTTCTTTTTCATAAAGGAAGTAGCCATTTCAGGAAGTGATGAAAGCAAAATTAGCAGTTAGTTGGCTGTGGATCGGCCAATACAGCAAGCAGTTATTAATTTAAAGTCTCTTTGCAATTTATTCTGAGGGAAAAGATAATCACAACCTTAATCTTTCTTGTTTCAAGATGTGTGAAAGTAGCATAGGAAAATGAGTTAGGATGGGTGTAACTACAGTGCAAATACAAAGCATTTGTGCACTCACTTCTCTGTTTCTCTTCTATGTTCAGTCATACTTTCGTGGGTGTGCAGTCTTGTTCCAAGATGGTCATTTCTGAGGATTTTTTTTATTAGGTTGCTTTTTAATGGAAACATGTTCAAGTTTTTTTCTTGTTCTTAAAAAAATCTTTTTTATTTTTAAAGAAAATAATATTGTTATTATTAGCTAAAAATCAATTTTAGATAAAACGGACTTGATATACTTCAGATTATTTGCACAGTGTAATAACTAAATATGTTTATGAGGCCATATGTATCAGCACTACATCATTCAGCAGGCCAAATGCAACACTGTCAACTTTCATAATGCAGGGAGTTGTTAAAGTACCTCTGACTGCAGAGCTTGACATTTGTTCAGGCAAAAATGAGCACAAAACCAGCACAGGTGTTGAGCCACAGCATGGTGAGAGAGGAAAAAAACAAAGATCTACTTTCAAACTAAATCAAGCAGAAGGAATGTCCTGAGTGTGTACAGAGATGGACGGGAGCCCATGCAATATTAAAGTACCGTGTCTGGCAATGCCAACCATGCCACTCCTTTCCATGGCTCCCGCCCTCCCGGCTTCCCGGCTATCGGCTCTTCCCTCAAGGTGACACTTCAAAGCGGGCACACAGACGTGGCAGGCTTGGCTGTCGGCATGAAGCCAGCCCCCACCCTCCTCTTTCTCTCCCGCCCACCATCCATTCTGCCCCCCTGCTCCCACCACCTCAAAGACACAGCTTCTACCCCTGCTGGACCAGGTCAGCGCCAAGATCCATATCGCTTGCCGCCTTGGGAGCTGCTGTCAGAAAACTCATCTTCACAAGCTTAATTAATAACGGGCCATTCCTAGTGCAAACCCTCTGAATCTGCAGCTTGTTTTCATCGATCCCGTTGGTGAGTTCTGAGGCCTCAACAGAATGCAAACAAGGACAGAAGGGCTGGTTGGGGATGCATCCAAATCATTTGAATTTCGATTACTGGGATTAACATGCATTATTCTCCATGCTTTACAACCTATTTTCTGTGTTGTACAGTGTACCTACCTGTCTTTCTTTTTTTTCTTTAAAAGATGTTTCTCTTCTACAGATGAT